TTCCTGTTTTTTTTTGTCTTTGTCTCTCTCTCTCTCTCTTCATCAGGATTTAAGTACTCTTATTCCAACATCGCCTCTTGGCTTCTCCAAGCTGCCATGGAGCGTCAGGCCGACCTAGACTTCCCTTCCCTTATGAAGACTCGCATCTTGGACAAGCTCGGCATCCCCGAGAGCGAGTTGGGCTTCATCTTTCCTGTTGCGGATGCTCCCAAAGTGGCCAAGGGTTACATCCGACGGTGGTCGTTGGTCGACTGCTGCAAGCGGTGGATGCTGGAGCGATGGATGTGGGACAAATACGAGGGGTCCAAGTCGAAATGGCTGTCGCTCTCCCCCTTCTACCTCGATGGGCCTGGATATGGCGGCGCGATCGCGACTGCGCGAGGGGTGTCCAAAGTGCTGCAGGACTTGTTGCAGTCGGAGTCCCGACTGTTCACCGACCCGGCCACCAAGGACCTGCTCTTCACGCGCGGCAAGTCGTCGTACGGACACAAGATCCCGATGTCGCTGGGTCTGGCGACAGGATCCCTCCAAGGGGAGAGATGGTACGGCAAACCGGGTGGAGGACCGGGATACTCCTGCAGCTTGAGACTGTATCCCGACATGGGATTTGCTACGGTCTGGATGGGTAATAACACCCTTACCAGCCATTCTGAGGTCAATCAGCTAAGCAACACTCTAGATGCAATAGTCATTAATCACCTGACAATCCGGTGAGGAGGAGGAGAAGGAGAAGGAGGAAATCCAATCACCAGAAACATAGTCTCTAATCAATCATCTAAAGCTCGAAATATTTCCTAACGGATTTCATAACGGATTTCCTAACGGATTTCCTAACGATGGTCGAAATATTTCCTAATTGAGGGTCATCAGCTTCTCCCTCCTCCCCCGCCGAACGAAGCGCACTGCGAAAGACGGGCCAGTCACGCGGAAGGGGAGGGGGTGAAGAGAACAGGGATCTGGGCAATGAACTGCCCATACCGACCGATGGGTCAGTAGGAGGGAGGAGAGGTAATTTCGCTACCCTCCTCCTCCTCCTCCTCGCTCTCTTCCCGATTTCATGGTGCAGAGAGAACAGGGTGAGACGGACTGAAGGAGAGTCTGGGCATATAGGCAAGACAGATAGACACAGACACACAGAGAGAGAGAGAGAGAGAGAGAGAGAGAGAGAGAGAGAGAGAGAGAGAGAGAGAGAGAGAGAGAGAGAGAGAG